GGAAGGTTTTATCTTGTTACCTTGGATCTGGATAGCTAAGGCTGTTGTGTCCAGCTTTTTCTTAGGACCCCCTCCAATTATCACTAGGTTAGACTTCGACGGGTCAAAACGTATTTCATGCTCGTTTGCAACCCGCAAAAGCTTCTCCACTTCTACTTGACTATTTCCCACCGGTTCAGTTGCTGTGCTTCCAGTGGTGAGAATGGCGATGTCGTCTGCGTACCCAAACTTGTTGACCTCGCTCCTATTTCTGAATAAAATGGAAATGTACAGGAGAAATAGTAGTGGTGATAGTGGTGAGCCTTGTGGGACCCCACACTCCACGACTTTTTCTCGGGTCATTCCATCCTGGTGTCGAACTCGTATCTTTCGCCGTGTCAAAAATGGCTCGAACCATTGACATAATAGCCTGGGCCACCCTTGGTTTCTCATCCGGTGTAACAGCCGTTTGTGGAGAACTGCATCAAATGCGCCCTGCACGTCTAGGGTAATCATTGCTGTGACCTTGTTGTTCCGCATTGCCGCCTCTGCATCATGTATGACACATGAAACAAGGTCGACTGCTGAGCGTCCTGGGAGTGCGCCGAAAGGTGTTGAGGGACAACACGATGTTCGATTACTAGCCACGCCATTCTTTTGGCTACTATTCGTTCTAGCCCTTTGTCCAAGCAAGAGAGAAGGGAGATCGGTCGCCATCCTTTAGCTATTGCTAGGTCCCGTCCTGGTTTTGGAAGCATGATGATTTCTGCTACTCGGAAGATGGTAGGAAAATGCCCATGCTCTAAACACGCTTGGAAGATGTTCTTTACCTGCCGCCCAATGGCTGGCCAGCATGCTCTCAGCAGTCACACTGTTATCTTGTCTTAATCTGGGGACTTGTTGCCTGAGCCAATAGTACTTGTCGTTACATCCTCTAATGATATTGTCGCATTCCACGGGATCGACTCTGTTTGTTCGGATTCCCACGTGGGGAGATCGTGGGCCGCGTCAAATTTTAGTGAGAAGAAATTCCCTTAGGGCTTCTGCTCGTTTGAGTGGGTCTGATGTCCACGTATCCTCCGCGATTTTAAGGGGGGGAGGATCTCGGCCTATCTTGGGTTTTGTCCACTGCATCAATTTGAAGATTTGTGAGTCTGTCGTAGCATTCTCAACCTGCTTCCTCCAGTGATCTTTTTTTGCCGCTATTACTGCATGCTTAAACTTTTTCCGCACTTCTGCCTCGCTGTCTGGGCAGCTTCTAGCTTCATGGTACTCGCGGTGCTTAAGTTTGCAGTCCTCATTCCACCACGGAGCTGTGCTTCCTCGCGCTCTTGCAGGTTTGTAACCTACTGCCTTGCGTGCGTCACCAAAAGCCTCCATCAAGCTTGATAGCTGGCATTCAATGTCGCTTACGCTATTCAAAGGGCCTGGTCTGACCCACGCTTTGACATAATGGGCAAACTTGGCAAGGTCTTGATCGTGTAGCCGCAGTTCCTGGCTTATTCTAGACAAATCGGGCTTTCGTCTCGCTTCAACGGACCCAACGATAGTCATATGGTCTGATGTGCAGTTATACTCGTGTGATACCAATGCCTCTGCTGTGACGTTGCTCCATACAAGATCCAACACATTTCCATCCCTGTGTGTAGGTACGCCGATAGTGGTAAGTAAATGCATATCCTGAGCTGTAGCCCATTCCATTATTTGGTCACCATTACCGTGCTGACGAGTAGCCTGTGGTTGCCAGTGCCTTGAGACGGCGTTGAAGTCCCCCCTACAATTGCAGGACCTGAGGGGCGCCACCTAAGCAAAAGATCGAGGGTATCATTAAGTCCCGGTGCACGATATACATTAACAAACGTCACCCCGCAGGTTTTCACAAAGCAGTAATCACCGGTTTGGTCTTAGGATTAAGGGAGTATTTGCGTTGCCGATAAATATTTACGGGCGAAGCTGATTGCCCGCGGGCGGGTCCCAGCTGCTCCCGTCGGCTTGTAACTGTTGAAGCCCGGGTGACTTTTTGTGATAGGTCCTCCATTTGTCTGCATTGTCCATGGTTCCTGTACCATGAAAATGTGAGCTCAGGCTTCCCATGCCTGCTGAAGTGCGATATCCATATTCTCTCCCCCCTTTCCCACGTTCACTTGGTCAAATAGAAGGGCGTGTTGTTGTTCGGTGTGGTCATGTGTTGTGTTTGTACAACTCATTAATTTTGCATCGTGTCTTCCGGGGTGAACACGACCTCTGGGGCCTTACCCTTTTTCTCCGACTCTGCTAGTGCTGCCTGAAAGTCACGATGTCCATGTTCTCGAATAACTCTTAATTCCGCTGGTTTGCGGGGGTAGAATATTCCGTTCTGGCGCCTAGGTCGCGCCATACGTTTTAGGTTAGTCGATTCGTGAGGACCTGCGCAATTTGCACATTTAGGTACCTTGAATTGACATTCACTTGTCTCGTGTACTCCGTTGCATCTTCCGGACCTTTGTCCTTTAGTGCAAGACCGTATGTTGTGAAATCCCCAGCATCTCTAACACTGTTACATAGGGCGTTGGCGAACGAACGGAATTGCAGGTCCGCTTTCGTCGAAGAGCCTGAACTTACAGTTTGCCGATTTCTGTTTGAAGTCAATTATCCAGCTCGTGGAATATTGTCCGAGCCTAGCTGGGTTCGGCCGCACCTACACTGGTGTGACCCCGCATCGAACTTGACGTTCCGTTGTAACCGTTTCGCTAGTTACCGAAATACTGCCTTCGAGTGTTCTGATATATAGTGGTACGTGTGGCACTATCATTGACGTCCAATCCGACGCTGCTTCGATGCAGATATTTTCTTGCTGAAATATTCCTGCAACTCCTAGTATTGTTTCTCGAAGCCCGTCTGATGCGCATTCCAGTGCTAGGCCTGATCGAACCTGATGCATAGCCGTGATTGCAGATGCTGCAACTCCCGCTTTCTCATTGATCATTTTCTTTAATGTGACTGGAGACAATTTGCGCTAGCCATGTTCTTGCCCCAATCTGACAAAGAGACGTTTGTCTTCTTTTGGGGGGTTTTGTGCATTAGGCTTTGCGTCTGTAGTGGGCCTTCGAGGGGTGGGGAACTCGGGTGGATCTGGGAGCTTAGCCGCTTTTCGAGCTACCGTAACCCACGGGTTCGCAGTCTCCTGTGGCTTTTGGGGCAGTTGGTGGTGCGATTTATCGCTTGTTTTTGTCGCCCTAGGCGCAGAGGTTATTATCTCCGTGACTTCGGGGTGTGGGGTCTTGCCTTTGGTGCTGTCGCATCTGTCTTTCCTATTGCAAACGCTGTCACTATAGGTGATATTTTTTTCGATGAAAGGCGCGACTAGAGCCGCGCCTTCAGTTTCTGCCTTGGATTTCGCCCAGGCGTCGATATTTTGTAGAAAATCCTGGGCTAGGCTCATTCTCTGCTTTCTTTCGCGCTCTAATTGCTCCATCGCAGCAGCAATCCCAAGAAGGCTCGGGTGTAGTTGGTCGCCTGGATCGATTGACGCCGAGGACGGCTGATTGTGCGCAGCCATAGTGCTGCTCGATTTGACGGGTTGTAAGAAACCAGGATAAGTATAATGGTGTGCGTGTATGGGATAGATAATCTAATGGATCTTTTCCTCTGGGTGCCTATGAGGTGACTGCAGCTGACAGGGTGATTCGTAGTGTCAAACTGAGTTTTTTTTTTGTATCAGATTTTAATTGCGTATGCAGCTATCTAGCTATGACATAATATCAAAGAAAAGTACAGAATAGATGTTTAAACGAAAGGGAAGGGCACTCATGCCTCAGATTTCATTTGCAAGTACCACTGCGAAGTTATGGCGGCTTTTTCTTCACCCCAAGTCAACCCTCATCCGTGAATACCCACCCAGGGAAACGTCTCAAAAACCCTGAGTTATCCAGACATGCCTCCGTCATCCATCAACTTTTCTCCGCGCGAAATGTTATCTGAGATGTCTCCTTCCCAAGTGGAGTAGGTGCTCAGGCTACTCAAACTATACCAGAGAACACCACCAGGAGGCGGACCACGACACCTTCCATCGTTTTAGCTTGTTTTTATAGTGTCAGCTGCACTCTCGCAAGCGAAGTCTTGGCGCGCACAAAGCTCAATTCGTAAAACTCCTTGCCAAAATTCGGAATTTCACGCCCTTCGAGGTTATATCCTTTCTTTGCATCATTTTTTCAACTTGTCCTCATCCCTCTCACGTCCATCTCAAAGGACTATCTTCCAGATTTGTGCGCCACGGTTTGCTTCCTCCGTCGGGTATAAATATCGGCGTGGGCGTGTATTTGGTGGTTTAGGCCAGAGAAATTCGGAGAGAGGTGTGGTCATAGGGATGAGGATGTACTAGGTAGTACTTGTAGACTTGATGAGACTTAGGCAGGCGTCAAACTCGTTGGGAGCGAAAAAACGAAGTGGTAGAGTAATTTTAAATTTTGCCTCGTGGGCCAACTTCTTTGATATTGCGAAATTTGACTGAACTTGGCTTTGGGAGAATATTTCACTCCCAGGTTCGTAGGGGACACCGCGTACAGGTGTTCAGTCATGCCATCCCATCAGGGTCCCCATTAACCCGAGAAGAGTATGTATTGGCATGAATAATTCGTTAAATCAATTGAAATTCTTGCCTGAATCCTCGTCTAGTTTTATCCATCCTCAAGATAAAACACACATTGTAATAGAATAAAAATTTCCAAATGTATTAGGGTAAAGACAAGGTGTAATGGTTTTATTTTGTTACATAAAGTGAATCTGTAGGTTTAATATATTATTGTACACGAACTGAAGCATAACCATCGTTTTATTGTTACGAACCCGTCCGGATGACCCTCATTGGATCTGAAGATCTTCGAGTTACAGCTCCATGCCTTTCTGACCAACTATTCCATGTTGATACTCTTCCTCCTATCCTAAATCCTAAAGTAATCATCTGAGATTTGGAATAGGCATCTTCGATATTTTTTGGAAAGCACAGTTTCTTATCTTTGGATCAGATAAACCGCATGAGTCGCTCATTTTTCATCTTCGGAATCGGCAAGGCGAGTTCGAGTCTCATATCGAGTTTTGAAACTGACCTTACCTTCAAGGGATTTGACTTGATTCAAGTCTAGGAGATTGCCGTCTTGATCTCTGTATTCCACTTTTTCTATACGAGATAGAACACTATGTCCCGCCAAGGGAGGTTTGGAAGGATCATATGCGGGTGCATCAGATAATACGACCTCATCAACAAGGAGGGGTTTCTGAGCATCAACCGCAGGATTTTGAGGCACTGGCTCAGGAGGTAAAGGAGGAGAAGGCGCTAAAGTTTTTATAGCTCCAGTGTCAAGCGTTGTGCTGGAGGAATATTGGTGGTACTAAGCTTAATTAAAATCATACAAGATCGAGAAAATATGCACCAAGGGGGGATTCATTTACCTCTCTATGAAATATATTACAGTCCCAGTCCCAAGACTTGAAATATTGAACTTTTCGGCAGGCAGATTGTGTCCACATATTCCCATATGCCAAGGGCGAATACATAACAAAAGCTACTATACTCAAGGCTAAGAATATGAAGACACCTGTACGAGCGATTAAAGGAGATTTTCGGAGCCGATAGATGCTTGGGCGAGCCGTGATATAATCGAAAATTTGACAGAATGCAATGACGGCAAAATAAAGAGCTGGAAAGTAGTGGTGTAGGAAAAGCTGACGACGCATGAGAAAGAAGGGAAAGTAGTGCATTGCCCACCCTATGACAGTGGTACCGACTTCATAGTCAAAACGTTTAAAGGTGGGGTTCTTGTAATCTGTATAATGTCGCTGCCAACGAAGAGTAGAAATTCCTTTGAAGATAACATATGTAAAAATTGCTAATGTCGAGCTCCACCAAACCACAGGATTACCAAATAAATAAATCTGCCGGTTGTTTTTGCTCCAAAAGTTGATTCCACGTTGTAAGAAAGGCCAAGACGGTGGGCGAGATTCCCAAGCGTGAGATTCGACTAATCCAGCATTTGTTCGCCACATAACTTTTTGTAATTCCCAGAATTTTCCAAAGAAGCCGGGGATCCTGTAGTTGACTTTCTCTGCTGTCTCGTCTAATTGGGGATGGGAATTCTGCTCAACGTACCATACGCTGCCGGGAAGTGTGGCACCTTTGGCACAAGTCACTTCTTGCTGCTCAGAGGCCCATGCTGGGAGCTTGACTTTATGGGAGAAAAGTACACAACCAGTCATAACATGTACAAGCTTAAACTTCGTCTGAATTGTCCGAAGTCTGGTCCGTGCCACACCACCATCTGACATTTTTTTTATGATCTCTACTTTGAAGTAATCATTTGCATCTCCCTGAAAACCTTCGTATCCATACGCAGAGACCTCGTTCTGCCACTCTGCTTCCGTGACCGGGGGCCTGATATCATGAGAATGAAGACGGCGATGTGTGGCTAGATGAAAGAGTTTAATAACATCACCATCCTTAATGAAGACCGGTGGCACTATTGTATCCCAAGCTTGAGTTCCGTTGATAGGGTCTCCATTCACATCTAGAGGCTGCGTCGTATTTTCAAGTAGCCAAATGTTGTTCTCGTCTTTGTGGGGATAAAGAGTGATCTGTTGCTGCTTACTACCGGTTGGGTACATTAGATTGTGCGAGTGCAAGTAACCGCCTTGAGTGTAATGGTGCCGTATGCTTACTTTGCTACCAAACGCCACATCCACAGGAACATCCTGCATAGATTTCGTATTGAGAGTGGCCTGGAATTCAGAGCTCATGAATCCATCTCCTTCTCCCGGGTTAACAAGGCAGATGAAATGAATTCCAAATAATACAAGATAGAATGTTAACGGAATTAGTATTAGGCACAGAGCTCTTGCTAGGAAGTGTTTGGCTAGCAAGCGCAAGCTGACATGGTTCGTATCACCAAGTAAAGTCCAGAGCTGTATCAGTGTGAAGATTCCCACCCAGGAGATTGTAAATAAGCCAACCCACTTGACACTAACGGTGGCTCCCAGTCCTAGCCCAGTCATAATAAGCCAAAACCACCATGTAGGCTCAAATGCTTTTGATGGACCCTGTTCATGTTGATTTGTGAAGCAGATAAAAGACAGAGTAGATAGTGCTGTCATAACAAGTAAAGGGGAGTCAAGAAGTATTAATCTTGCTTGGGTAAGTAGACCGTTTTCTAAGGTAGTAAGCCACTGAATGATAAGGTTGTAAAACAAGCCTTCTTACCAAAAACTATCATGGAAGCTCCCATCCAAGAGGTTAGACTTCGACATCCTAAGGCTTTAAGCGTAAGGAACATAATGGGTGCAAGAAGAACACCACAGACAGCAGGCAGCATTCTCATAGCAACATATGGTACTCCTGGCTCCAAATAGTCCATACCAATCTCTTTGAAATCAAAGTTTCCGTCAAACCCAGCTAGCCATCCTGCTAGTGTGAGCAGAAGCTTTGCTAGAGGTGGATGGACATCCATAAAAAATTTCCCCTTTATATATTTGGAGGCAAATCCACCGAAGCTATGCCATTCATTAGCTGTTGTGAAGCATCCCTGAGTAGATCAAACTTACTGCACTTCATCAAAGACTACGCTACTCGGTTGATATATTCTAAATAATCTGACAACCGTAGCCATGACGGTGATACCGAGCATTATCTTGTAGTCAGAGCTAGGTAAGAGAAAAATGTCATAATCTTTGATGCCATCGGATGTGTAGTCGCTATAAGTCTCCTTGGATAGCCTTTTACCAGATGCCCTGGACTTCTCAGTAATTGATTTAATCGCCATTGTGGTTGTTTATATCTTGTAGACACAGTTCACTGAGGTTCTACCAAATATTTTCGGTAGATCCGTAGATACTTAGCCTGAAAGGCTCAAAGTACCATAAAAATATTTAGAAGTCGAGTTGTTGATTAGCAGACCAGCTTGCCGTGGAAGGTATTTGCATGTCGTTTATTCATTGATCTTACGAAATCTGGCAGAGAATGCAATGTCCGAACAAGTTTCTTGCGTACCTTGAAACTATTTGTCAGCTGGAATGTTGTATCGCAAATCTGCGAGCATTGAGCCCATATTTGATAAAATTTACGCTAAAATATAGGGCTTACCCGGCTTCGTCATATACCACACCACTAAATACTGTCCCGGGAGAATGACAAGGGACTGTATGCAATGCAGACAACAGTTGGTCCATTTCGAAACGAGCAATAACTTCACAAGAATACCTACCTTCTACATTTTAAAAACGCCTATAGAACAACCCAGCACAATAGTCTAATTCTACTATGATTTGATTTGTCACACTGAAGATTGCGCACATTGATAATTCCAGCAATCTCTGATAAATCGAATAAATTTGGTGTAGGTAGTGCTGTTCGAACAAAAATGAAGCTTAAATTTGGAGCTTGCAATTTTGTCCGCATTCAATTAAGCTGTGAGAAGTTTAATAAGCATGGCTATCAAAAATTTTCTCTGTACTGGATTAGCGGGAGAAAATGAGACGGCTACAATAACACTTGAAGACAGTGGCTGTACAAACTAGTGCCTTGCCGGTAGACGTATTATCCTTCAATCACTTATTATGTACATCGTATGTTAGAGATGAGCAAATGTCAGAATCAAATCTTCAGGAAAGTTTCTCACTGCATGTCAGCCTTTGAACGCGAAGTCTTCCCTAGAAGTTCGCATCATATTACTTAATTCTTGCGCGCATAAATATGGTTTAGATTTTTAGCTTCCGCGCTTTCTCTAGCCATGACATGCTTGATCAGCTAAATCAATATACAGGAATAATCCCATTCTTAGACGGAAACGAGATATTTACATGAATTTTACAGTTGATATTAAGTAGGAAAATTTTCGCATCTTGAGCCCTCTGCTCCAATAGTTCAAACTAAGCCCGAGCTATCGAAGATGTTGAGATGTCGGCTTTTTTAGCCTGTTATGTGTACTTCAAAGTATGTTATCCAAATTCACCTCCTACCCATAGTTATAGCCCCAGTGTATCATATAAAAAATCGCTAAGTAACATTAAGTTCAAATTAACAAATATTAATTAAATATAATAAAATAAGTGTGATCACTGCCGTATCGCATGGTTGCCTTGAATAGATGTAGTGGTAGGTGTAAACGTAGAAACATTATGCATCTCCATAGAAGCGCCAACGCTATTTTGGTCTTTCGATAGTGAAAGTGCCCTCTTCTTATCTCTAGTCTGCCCGAAGCGCTGATCACCGAGTTCATATTTCTCCTTGAAACTGAGATATGTTGGTGGTCGCGGTCGGCATAATACAACTAACCAGTTCTTGATGAAATTTCCTTGGTTAAAGGGCCGATGTCGATCTTTTTTCAGAAATTTATGCGAGTTGAGGTATTCTCTAGTAGTTTCGCCTCGGCCCATGAGAAAGAGATGATAGCCTGTTAATGCTGCTGGGTATGGGAAGGCTATTAGCCCATAAATAATCATGACGAAGGGAATTTTGAATTGTTTTATAGCTTTTGCAAACGTTACCTCTTCCATATTCATGTGGACGATGATTTGAGCGAGGCTAGCCCCAGAAAGGAAGAGACCGAGCATGAAACAGGTGGTGACAAATGTGAAAAAGTAGCGGTAGTTTCGTCGACCGACGCAATTATTAAGCCATACACAATGATGGTCCTGAGTTTCAATACAGCTATCACAAATCCGACAATGATGGCCCCGTGGGGGACGCCAAATGTTGCAAGTCTTACAATACTTTATGGGCACTTCCATGGCAGCAGTATCTGATTGGGTCGATTTAACCATGGTCCAATCGTTCATGGGTGGGGCTAGGCGTAGGGGATCTTCATTTTCATCCGATGGCGGCATTAGGTGGAGATTTCTGGGAAGTATCTAAAAAAATTAGCAGTTAATAGTGGAGAGAGGAACATCACAAACATACGCCCGGGTTTGAAAATGAGGCATGAAGAAAAGAAGATAAGCAGAGGTATGTCATGTATCCAAATGCAATTGGTATTGCAGGCGAGATATTGTGCCACAACCAAGGCGCTGAGAAGAAAAAGAAAAGAGTGCTAGGTACTACGACAAAACTGCCAGTCGCAATATTGATAGGTCTATGTCGAGTATTTTGCAGACGACCTCTTGCCCAGAAAACCGTGTTTCCTGGGAAATATTCCCAATTCCTACCAAGATCCTGGGATTTTCGGAATGTATTTTGACAAACTTTTCCAGGAGATGAAGCGTTGGAGGATAGTTTCTCACGGCCATGGGTGCTTCGATCGGAATTATGATTACCAGCGCCTGGTACCCGAGAGGACAGGTTGAAGGGGGTACGAAAGTTATGCGAATTAATAACTGGGGAATTCACAGATGCGATATTCTTCGGTTTTGTATTGGCAACACAGTCGAGTCTTGGTAGATCGCCATGGTGGATTAGCGACGGTTTCTCATTTTCTGGTAATCTCCTGATTTGATGCACATTAACATTGTGTGTACTCGTTAATTCCGGATCAGTCATCTCTGTTCCTCTGGATAGTGTCCGCTGTAATGATATCTCTTCAAGAGTTTCGGGATTCCCTGACAATGCGCACTCTGACATGATGCTATCCCTTCTTGCCGCGGCAGAATTCCCGGATAACGGACCATTTCGACTCCCTGTCCCTTGGTTATTTGAATTTGTCGCTGGTCGCGGCCCACCTCGCTGTGCTTGTAGTCTCTGCGAAGACATAGGTCGAAAAAAGGCGTGAGAAGCAAGAGATGGCACATGCGTCCTGCTTGCGGAGCTAGGAGGTCTGCTACTGGATAAACTTCCTTGCCGTGATGCATGGGATGTTGAAAGAGCTCTTCGGGAGGCTGGTACTTGAAATCTAATACTACGCTGAGAGATTCCAGTTCCTGGCCTCGAATTTGCACGCTGTAGGCTTCGTCGAGTAGATTTTCCTTTTCTCGAAACTCTCCCGAATTCGGATGAGACTCCTCGTTCATCGTCTGGCATGATATCTGTCATTCGCGATGAAATGATACTTCCAGCGTCGCCAGCGTCTGACTGAGCCACATGAGGGTTTAATGTACGATGAACTGATGCTGGCTGCGTGATTGATGTACGGACGTTGACGTGGTAAGCCATATCGAGGGATATATCTATTACTAATACGTCCTTTCTCACGTATCTGGTTTCTCTGTACTTATAGCATTCTTGTAGTGTGGTCGAAGGGCGGAAAAGACGTTCAAAAAATATACTAGATCTCCAATGATTCGGGAAGGAGAGACGGTTGTTGAAAGAGACTAGTGTTGTAAGAAATGAAAAGAAGTGACAAGATTATGACTTCTGGAGGAGAAAGACAGAAAGGTGTATGATAGTCAAAGCGTGGCGGCAAGACGACTTCTCTATCGTGAACGCAGAAGCACCAGAAATGAGCCCAGTAATATCATGTGGCATAGCATAATTTTGAACAATCATCATCCCTGATACGCTAGCTAATACAAAGGCTTCTGAATCACCATGAAGATACATGGATTCGCAAGTTAAATTGAAGTTGCTAAGTGCATCCGTGTCTCGTGACTCGCAATCATCCCAGAAAAGATGTTGGCGCACCTTCCAGACAAGTGTACGATTTTCTAACCTATCAACTACATCACGCAATGAGACCATCATTAATTCGAAGCGCAACTCAAGCGTTTAAAGCTTCTGAGTCGCATGTCCTGAAGAAAGGCGCAAAAAAAGATCCTGAGCTCTGGGTTAGTGCAATCTGTACAAAATCTGTTACTTTCTGACGAGTTGGAGGTTCTCCTTGGGGTTATGTCCGGCGCTTTTGGACTTGCCGGCTACTACTTTGGTATATACATAGATATTCCAATTATCCTCGACATTTGTTTTGGCTGGAGCACGATAGCTAATACACTCTAGGCCGGAAACCAACATCCTCAACTTCTGAAACCAAAATTGCGATAGCTGATGGAAGCATGCCTTGGCAGATGGAAGCTGGTAGCGGCAACACGCAGGCAGATTTTAAGTACAGATATCATCCAGGCGCAGATCCTAGAAATCCACCAGAAGACGCTCCAAGCGCTCTTAACGTGGTTGTCGTTCCCAATGTGACTCTTCCCAAGGTAAGAAAACCAATGATGTTACGAGCAGTGCAAAAATTACACATCTGTCGACAATTAAAGTCTAGATATTTTGTTCTGTGGAGACGCAGCCACTAACATTATTAAGGAATTACATGACAAATTCAATAAATGGGGAAAAGATGGTTACTAAAGGCAGCTATTTAAAGAGACATCGATAATATATCTTGAGAGATTAGTCCCCATGTGATTGCAGAACAACCGTAACTCTAGTGATTACTTCGTAGTTAATCCTGCACCATAGTAGCCCTATACTATGGCCATGGACTTTATCAGTTAGCTGGCCAGAAAATAAATCGAAAATATTTGCTGATCATGTTTGGTAATGGTTATTGTGGGTGGTCCTAGAGCCTGCAGTGTATCGCGTGTTTGAACCGCAGAAAGTCGACGATCGTTTAAGATAATAGCAGCCATATCCTCAAAATCGTGGGCGACATAAATTGAATCAGATTTAGGTGGACTTCGTATCGATAGCTAATTTTCGCATGTCACTAGCTGCGTAGGAATAAAGACACGCTTACAGCTTTCCTGTGGCTCTATACTTTACAAGAACTTAATGCCCTGCAGTACTTCCAACTTGGCTAGTTTGATGCAAGCTAACAACTGCTGTTTCCACCACTCCTAATAGACTGCCATTTCCCCATAAGGACTCACTCGGTCTATCCTTACAGTGGCGCAGCAAGGTATTGCCACACAAGCTATCACAATGCCTTTCAGACTACTGCTGCCCTGGTTCTACATCACCATGCCTAACTAATTCCCATTGTGTCACTATCTATTACTGGTTTGCGTCAAAAAGAACAACACCATGGTAGAGAGATCGGGTCTAGTTTTGAAAATATCCTCAAAATCCTATGATCTATGTTGTAGAATGCACAGCAGTTTCATCACACAAGACAGTGACTTGTAGGAATTTCGACCGTTGAATTATTTTTAACGTAATTCATGTAATAAAAGTGGAGCATATAGCCCTTTTCATTAGAGTACTTGTTCAAATCATATTATTTCGTATTTCAAGTCGAATAAGCAATCTGAAGTATAGTATCATTACCCGTCCTGCCTGTCGCTTAATCTGCCGAAATAATTAGACCTTTTCCGACACTAAGCTTTATTAGATTTATCTCATCTGAAGTCAGTCAAGCGGCCAATTGATGTACTGATCAAGTATTAACGTGCAATGAAAATTTTAAAAACATGGTGTTGCATTTTGATGATTTTGATAGAGTTGTGAGAGTGTCATTTCATGGCTAGACTTGAATTGCACTCACATTAATATGGTCGACTTATTTTGCAACCCTGTAACCTGGTGCAGATAGGTCTCCGTACAGGGTTGTTCTCAAATCTTAAACCCTGAGAGCCAGGTATGAGTATTTCTATCAAGGGCAAAGAGTAACATGTCGGACACGTCCAAGGGATTAGCCGCTTAACACTTGCACGGCATCGATCTAGGGTAGCAAAAATTTCCCCTGATAATTATTTTGTTTTTCAATCATGTAAATTTGTGGCAAGATAAGATAATAATTTTTATTATAGTCCCTTAATTTTATAGCAAAGTAAAGCCAGCCTTATTGACTGCAGTTAGTCCTCCGGTGACATGCACTCGTGTCAAGCCTCCTGGGTTTATGGCTTTAGCCCGATACTCTTATTTATTCAACTCAGTCCAATTCTAAAGTCTTGGCCCTACAGGCCATGTGACGCGCACCAGTTCAAGAATTTTATTTCCGAATTGTCGCCTTATTGTTGCCTCAGGTGCCAACAAATGTAGCTGTCTGAAACTCCATAAAGACATGGGAGGGGCTGGACTGGTCGATCGGCTTCTATGTTTCGGTAACAGCCATTCCCGTTTCGGGCACTTTCCTGCCTCCGATTAGATAGTGGCGTCCCGTAATCCCTGACTGTATCCAGCCGACTAGCTCGATATGTAAATGCCTTAAGTCAATGTACATCACACCTCACCTCATAGTTGTAGGCGGAGGACCAAGGCTGAAAACCTGTCAGTGGTACCCTCTACGAATCTGGGGGTAAAATATTCATCCAGTGCTGAGATTCAGTCACGACAAACAGGACTTGTCCCTCACTGTCCATGAGAGCAAAGTGTAAAGTTGAACAGTTGGAACTCTAAATATGTAGCTAGTATCTTATTTGTAGATTCTAGGAGTCCTCAATAGTCTTTGAATCAGTTAGGACTATATTACAAATCTAATCTAATCTAATTTAATCTAATCAGTCACGACAAAGGGTGAATTTGAGAGTTTTCGTCGAGTTGGCGATCGGGAGGAGTGGTGTTGGTTCATCTTTGGTCGAAAATCCGACTTGCAGAGATTTCACGACTGCACAACTCAACGAAATCAACCATCTAAACCCCAGATACGAACCGCAGACAGCCTATAATCTGTCTGATGTTCTTATTACAAAAACCGACACCTTCAAGATCTTATTTTCTATTTCTCTGGAAAATCACTCCTAGCCAAACTCATCTCGCGGCCCTCTCAACAATCATCTCACCACCTACCTAAGCAATCCCATACCTCCAAAAGCCAAATCGCCAACTAGGAAGCAAGAGTATTCCCGACCCTCCGCAACTGCCAGCCGCTGTGAAGATACGGTCAAAATACCGGCCTTAGATGCGTCCTCACCTCGGCCAAGGGCACCAACAACGCGACCTGCGACAAATCGCCACCGACGAAATACGTACGACATTTCGCCGGCACACCAACAGAGTGTTCGACAAAGACTGGGGCTTCGGTGCTTCGGTCTTGAGCTCTCAGTCGCGTTTTCGACCTTCACGGTTAGGGGTACGGCAGCGACGGGGCAAGGCCGTAGGGGTGGACATTCTACAAAGTTTCTTGGACGATGATATTGGCTGAAGGATAGAGGGATGCTACATGAAGGAACTAAAAGGGGATAAAAACTGAGGAGGCCTTGGTGGGCGACTGGATGAGGCCTCCAGTGAAGAAAACGACCCCTGGATGAGATGAGGAGATGCTGAGATGAGCCAAAGCTGCGAATGAACCGAAGGGAAAAGCTATAGACGGCGAAGGTGTCAAGGGCTCGGGCGCGTGGTGGCCGAGGCTGAGGAGGAATTTGCGCTTCGGCGCGCCAAAAGGGGGTTCTCTGGACGGTTGGGCTTGACATGATTCAACACATGGGTGAAGTCTAAGGTGGTCCGGTCATTCAGGTGGGACGAGGTAGATGTACTTAATGGTAGTTAACCTGATTCAGCCCGGCTCCACCCGTGCATAAGCTCCAGTAGAAGTGCAACGGTAGTTACTTTACCTAGCACGTTGATGAACAAAGTAAACCAAAACAAACTTCCGTTGTAGGTTCGTAATTCTCTGAAAAATCTGAAATGAAATGCTTGAATCAACGGAAACTTTTGTGCCACTTTTTTTGCTCAGAGACAAATTTAATTGTGATACCTCATAGTGGTATTTGCGAAGTAAATCTAGAGTATGAGTGTCTCTAACGTCAAAAGAGTCATCCAACATGTATACACAGCACCGGTCATGTGTCATAGCTCTATAGCTGAATACACATTAAATGATTTAAAAAAAAATTAATTATGAGCATTGGTCTGTAATTAGGAGTGATCGAATCAGAAAAAGGCCGCTTAGCAAGTTATATAGCGTGAGGGGTTCGTTTTACACATTTCCTTTAAAAGAAAGATAGACTGTCCGGCAAGCTCAATTTTTGTTTTGGGGGTTGAAATTACCTGACACTGTTGCATGAGGTATGTACTCTTCCTATCTAGGCATTCTGCGCTACGTACCGGACCTATGACATTAAGTCCTTGAATTATTGATTACCCTAGACATTTCACCGTGATACCACTTATAAGCATAAGTGGCGGAGCACTAATATGCATGAACGCAATCTACTAAAACTGCGTAAATTAAAGTTTTAAAATGTAAGTCTGTTTCTCTCAGCTTTCCGCTACCGGAGATGTGTGCATTGTAAAGCCATTAATGCCTTTTTGTCAAATGAGCGACACCTTTTATAATTTAATGGGTTGGCTTGAACAGAAAGTTTTGATTTTTAATGATACCTCCTTTGTAGGAAATTGACGGTAGGACAGTCCCTGAAGTTTAGGAAAGTGTCTAACCTGTAAACAAGACACCTATTGTATGTTATAATTCGGCAGCTCGAAATACATTGAATGATTCAAAATTGTGATATATTTTTATCTGATCAAAGAACAGCTGGGTGGATGACATGTCACGATAAAATTCAAAAATTTCATGTGACACTGATCAGAGAAAGGCAATAGCTTGTTGCTGAAGTATCATTTCCACGTCGTCACGGCCACCAGTCACCTGCTTGTTTTCAGAGACTCGAGCAGAGAGACTTACGACAGGATACCATGTTGTGCGCCCTGGATAGCTGTACGGCAAGGGACGGGATCATGAATGCATCTTGGTTCTTACTCGCTTGCCGGGCTCATTAAGGCGTATAAAATTAGTCATTGCTTAATAAGGACCAAATTAAATGGCGTACCGTTCATTCGGACTACATGCATTGTGATTAATAAATGACTCACTATCAGCGTGCGCAAGACCAGAACCGCTAGAGTCATCTCATCTCTCTACTCAATCTCTAGCTAGCTGTGCCCGCAAAGGACCACACGAGCAAACTAAGACATTAAACAGATTTCGAAAAGGCATTGCGTCATTCTATCATAATGCAGGTAATGCCCGACTCACGCCAGCAAAGTTTCGAAGAGATCTACGGTCCACCTGAGAACTTTCTGGAGATTGAGGTATGCAACATATTGTGATGGGAAAAGCTTTCCTAATAATCTACACAAGCCCCAAAAACTAATTCTTGCGAAAGGTAAAAAACCCAAGAACTCATGGAATGGGAAGGAACATGTATACCGATTACGAGATTGTTTGCCGGACAAACATTCCTGCTTTCAAGCTCCGTCAGAGTGGCGTTCGAAGACGTTATTCGGACTTCGAATACTTTCGTGACATACTGGAAAGAGAGTCTGCGCGTGTAACAATCCCACCCTTGCCCGGAAAAGTCTTCACCAATAGGTTCAGTGATGATGTTATCGAACACCGGCGTGAAGGCCTCCAGCGCTTTTTGCAGATTGTTGTAGGTCATCCGCTCCTACAAACTGGAAGTAAGGTATTAGCAAGTTTTGTACAAGGTGAGTAGGGAGTAAATGATACAGCTTTTCTCCTTCATGAAATCTACTCGGAAACGTACTGATCGTAAAAACAGATCCAAATTGGGACCGGAATGCTTGGTAAATTCGTATATACATAATTGTATATATATATATATATTACCGGAAGAGGTAGAGGACGTAAAGCATTAAGAAAACTTCATAGTTCTTCGCCAAAAAGCTATACGAATACAATCTCTGGCTGATGGGACGATGTGGGTTCTTCTGATTAATTACTGTGGTCATACTTGCACCGAGCCTCTGCACGTCCGAATGATCATCGCAACTTTTTTTGACATGATGTAGAAGCAAAGGCGTTGATCAAGGCGCTCTACTGTAATACCACAATTTTCTGCAACAAGAATTCAAATTATATGAATTCACAAGGGAAAGGTCCTCAACCAGAAAGATACGATAAGATTCACAATATATTGATTTATGACTCAATACGCCTACAAAATTGGCCTCTCATCCAACACATCAATGACGGGCTCCTCAGTGTGGCAATTCTCAATCCATCTTTAAACTTTGGTTTCACCATATGCAGATGGTCGTGCTCCTTCCTACTATTCAATATAGGGAATTAAAGGCCAGATTTATGTTGGAGACTCGATCCTTAAAACATAAAAATCAAACACCTAAGCACTTATCCATTATCCCGAGCATGTGATTTCTAAAATATTAGAGACCTACCTTGACTTATCAAATAATATAAAGGGTAATACCGCTTAGGTGTCTTGAACTCATTAGCATTATCTTATCATGTAGTCATTCGGAATGGTTTTATCTTGGAGAATAACCCACCATCTACCTGATGTTTAAATATTATAAAGTTTTCAAGCGATAGAGACTTTAAATGTAGTAGTTATTCATGATAGTATTGATAATACCATTCCTTGTCTTAACAAATCTTGCTAGTCTAGAGGTAGAGTCTATTTTCCAATCTTAATTACTTCCAACGATTTTTGGTTAATAATATTGACCGAAAGGCGTGACCAACTTTCTCTCCGATATTTAAGGTTGGAAGAATGTTGTTAAAGCAACTGTCTATTCACCCTTTAAGAAAGATATACCGACCTCTATTCGGTTGGACTCATGAATCTGTGTACGGATGCCGCACATGCTATTTTTGATTGTTATAGAAAGTATTAGTCTCCAGGCTCTATCTAAAACAAAGTCCGCTGAAGCTGCCTATAAATTTCTAACAGAATGTAACAATTTCGCTCAATATTGAAATCTTTAGCGAGGAAGACAAACTTTCCAGGCTCATATACTCAAGGTTTTCTCAAGTCCGTTTGCAGTAGAATTCAGAAATTTTGGTTTCAGTGGCCCACATCTTGAATCTTTTTAACCTTTGACACACGCATTGCCCACTATGGTCGGTCGAGAAAAGTTGAAGTGTGCCATAGAATCGAATCCATCTCGAGAATAACGTGTCTTTGCAGGGCACAATTTCCAAGTGGGAACAACTGGTCAGCTTTTACGGCATTCATGAAAGCCTCGCCAGGTCCCTGCAGACGCTAAGCTCTGTCCGCTCAATAAACTTTCAAACCTTTGAGGACAAAGCAGAGATGGTCACGTGCTCATCTAATTCAATCCATGAGAGATAAGGAGCACTGGAGGTATAGCTGCTGAGAATACACAGCGCGGTCTGGCGTGCATGAGACCTAGTCTTCGAGAGCTCGTGGCTGCAGACCTGACACTTCTGGCGCACGTTAGTGGCGGGACGGTGAGGGCCCCAGCGCTCCGAGCCGCGGTCGGCGTGCGAGCGGACGAAATGGTGGGGCGGCGCGAGGCAACATCCACGGGATAAACGTGTTCGACGCGATAGATCCGCACGCGGAAGCATAGTTGCGTCGAGAGCTCTAGTTTGCTAAGGGACTAGCGCCTATCTACGTCGAGAACATCAGATAGCTCGTCATGACAAGGATCCAGCCAGTGGAAGTGTGCGTCAGAAATGCCGTGGTGCCGTCATGATATATCATTGAGATTCGACTAGGCTATTCAGAAGCAAACCCGAGACAATGTGAGCGCCACCGGCGCCCCGCAAAACGCCCTGTAGTAAAATACACACTATCGTACATGCCGGTCGTCGCCAAAGAGAACGGGGGGGGTGCCTGGGGAAATCCGGGAAAGCTAAAGTCCAAAAATATACGCTCCGCTATCACGAAACTTTTCCTCACAACGCCAACGCCACCAATATCTCCAACCTGAAGTCCACCCTGTTCTACAGCTCAATAGGAGTGACCCGTTTATCATATTGCTGGAACGTCGAGCATCTTCAAAATTCCCTCGTAGATGCCAAACATAATAGCAGCGCTGGGTACGGTGCGTAAGAGATGAGGAGTAAGTCCCCCGTATAGCGCTACCATACCTTCCTCTTTCCAGACAAGTTTAGCACACTGGACAATGCCCGTGTACTTAGGACTTTGGTTCTCACAGGGTGCTAAGCGAAGCCGTGTGCGAAAGACCTGAATAAGCGTCAGAAAAGTCGGGATTTGTGAGGATATCAAACTGTACTGACCTCGTGCGGATAGGCAGCGAGAGCTGCAATGAGTTTGGCACCTCCAGCGGATCCGAGATTTCCAGTCCAGTCTACCACTTTATCCCAAAGGTTTTTCGGCCGGCCGCTTTCGGCGAGACGCTGAGCACGCTGAGCCAAATATTTCTTCATCTGTTCGTAGAAAACCCATTGTACTGTACTCTCAGATACCCCTAGATAGCTGGCACTCATGCCTTTGTATAATCCTCGAAAACCCTCTTGCCGTACGACCTTTCTCACACAGTCCCATGAATTTCGATATTTCCTTAGCGCCGTTCCACCGGCCTTATCAGCAACATCTTTGTCCAGTTGTAAACGCGTCTTGATCAGCCAGATCGGGTTGGTGATGGTAGAGGTGACAATACCAGCCATGGCGGCGGCACACAAGACCACCCACGCCGACTCCACGCCGCCATTTCCATAGTCTGCAATCATGCGCTTGCCATTCCCGACCACGTAAAAGTTTATCGAACGTGCAGGCACTACACCGATCAAGTTTGGCCCAAGGCCCTTGAACAGTGCGCGCCATCCCTCAATCCGTTGTACTGATCCGAGGATCTGAAAGGTTTCTCGGAAGTGCATGAGACTACTGCGTAGGGGTGAGGCGTGCGCGCCTGGCAGGATTCCTCGGGCCACGCGGCTCCGGCTGATTTGTGCGCGATAGAAGTCGGATTGTAGACGCGTCTTCAAGACATCTAGAGGCGCGGTTAGAGTGGCCGCAGCCATACCACCTATTCTACCGGAATTGGTGTTAGCACTTTGTGGACCTAAATGAGTATTCGGCTAAATACCCTCCAGCGACAAAGTGCGCCCATGATTTCGCAATTGGTGTGGAGCGATACACCACCGGGATCGAATCTTGCTCTTGTGGATCGTTAGAGCCTCGCCTTCTATCCCATTCTTTCGGTAGTTGACTGTGCTGAGAGTGTAGCGTGGATGAAGTAGCTGGATTAATGTTGGTATTCATGAAGAAACTCGGAGTCCCTATCGACGGCCGAATGAGAAAGGGGGTTGTAGGGGAGTAACTGTGAATGGTTGAGGCGGTTGGAAAAAATATTCCAACGCCTATATTGATTAGAACCCCTTTATCGCAGAAGTTTGATCTCAACGCGGCCGCATCACATGAATTAAAAAAGATAAAGACCTTTACCTACTCTAAATATATGGTAGGTACTATCTGCCATGTTTGGAATATCGGCTCATCACTTAATTCACTCGGGAATTTTCGCAATATTCAGTCACATTTTAATCACGACGGCAACTTTGATTAAAAACTTCAATAGCGATCAACACAATAGTGGCATGTCGCTTTTTGCATCAGGATACGATTCGCAAATCACGTTATTTGAAAGATTGTTTTATGAATTGCGAGATCGATGTGTTGCTTAACAAATTGTGGCTGGAAGCAGGGATAACACAGGTGTTAATTGTAATTTGTTCAGTGAATCCGTGGCTCTAGTATTCAAGTTGCTTGGCCAGATTTACAGTAGTATTGTGACTAATTTAACGGCTTACAAAACGTACAGGGTTCATGTAAGGCATTCTAGCCCTTCCAGTAAGCGTTTGGTCGATAGAAATTAGACCTTTAGACTACGCCATGATTCACTGTAGTGTCTCCCCGAAGCTATAAAACTTTCTAACCACAAATGTACAAGCCATCACGGCGCTACAACAAACAGAGTTATACAAGGATTACTACAGCGTCAGTTTTGAGGCCAGCCGTGGTCACCAGGCTTCTGTAAACCTTTGTTTCCGTAAAGTCCAATCCCTTTTAGGCCCAGTGAGAGAAAAGTGAACCATTGACGCCAAAATCTCAGAGATTTTTGATAAAAGCAGCCAGAATGGTTCATCGCTATTATACGATAACTTTTGCCAGAATTTCATCACTGTTTCTGATTCTTAAGCGACCTAACTCTTTGATACTCTTTTAACACTCTAAGAAATTTATTTATTGAAGCTTCTTAAACTTCGGGATTTTAGTCTATATGATCCCTTTACCCGTTCAGAAGTTCCTACGGATGTGCGTTTATTTCTTCCTGGGGCCTCTTTAGTCGTCTTGCGTGCAAATCTTAATTTTCTCTCCGTATGATTAGAATCTTTAGGGAAGATATCTCGTTGGCTCGTGTCTGAAGTGTCAGTTTTGGTATTTAAATTTTGGGAATATGATTTCCTCCCACCTCCGACTTCATCTTTTGTTTGTATGGTTTGCCGGACCCCGATTGAAAATTTTGCTTGGGAGGGCTTTGAGTTGGAATTTATTTCTATTTTTTCGATGTTATTTTTAAAGTCGGCTGTAAAATCTGGTAAATACAACTTCTGATCCGAATCATTCTCGATCTTTTTTCTCTTAGGGGTTCGTGTATTATTGATGTCCTTTTCTGTCGGGCTTTCCATAATCTTTCTCTTCCCAATTTTGGCTGAGGAGTTCGAAATCAGTGTACAATCTTTTGTAAAGTCCCTGGCGAGCCTTGAATCTTTTAGTCGTGGGCCCAGTACACCTCGACAATTATTGCTACCGCAACGACATTGCTGAATATTTTTGCTGGAGAATGGATCAAATTTGTAGTCATATGTTAACTCATCACCAGTCATAATAGGCTCGTCACCGGCAAATAGTGCCATGCGTGGATTTCCCCCAACTATCCACTTGACCATTCGGCAATTCGGCTTACAGGAGTGATTGACAAAACGAGCAATGCTGCCTTTTGTGGCATCAATAATCATAGATTGATCGAATGACATGAGATAATAACACTAACGATTTAGCATCAATGTGTTAGGGTCTTACCTTTTGGATGACTTACATCATTGTCTTTGTAGTCCTCATTCATTCTACGATCACACTCGTCTTCGGTAATAATTTCTCCGGTGTATTCGACAATAATTTGATGCGGTTCAAAGCAGCGGTTGGATCGAACTCCATATCCTCGATCAGCAGTTTTTATCACCTCGACTCCAACCCTGTATTTGCCACCGGCTTTACGACGCTCTTGTAATTCGGCGAAAGCTCGATTGGTACAGTACTTACTACCTACTGCACAATTTGAGTCATCGCATTCATAGAACATTATTCTGTTCTGACAGTCCTCGCCGCAACCATTTTCAGACTTGCATACACACTTTGAGGATGTACTGTAGGAAAATTTAGAGACTTTCCATAGAGCACCGGCATCACCAATAAAGCGATCTTGAAAAAAGTCAGTATTATCGTCAGATTTTAGTATAATTTTCTTACTTTTTGTTGCCTTTCTCCATTCATCTGGCTGAGGTTGTCCAGGCGGAAGAGGTGAGCAAACGTCAAACGGTAGCTTAAAGTCTCTCCCAAATTCAAGCAAGCGGCGACCATACCACATAGGTAGGGGAAATGATCTGTTTGGGATATATTGATCGTCGGTTGATTTCCCCCCGTTCTTTGTGCCTGAGCCGCGTACAAAGCGGTCGGAACTCCAATCTTGGCCAGCGTACAGTCCTTTGCTGAGCCAAATTTTGCCTTCTCCACAAACGGAGTTTGTTCTTGGCGGGACAGAATCCTCTATGGATCTGCGCGAGGAATTATTCCTTCGTGATTTTTCCCTTTCTTGTGAGTTATTTTCTACTACTAGTTTTCCATTACTCCAGACTTCATGTATAACGGGTTCTGTGTCGATTTTCGCGAACTCGTTCGAGTCTATTAAATTATTTAGTTCCCGGTTCACATTTTTCTTGCGGTTAGAGCCCTCTGACTTCCTCCGGTCTCGCTTGGCTAAAACGGGCAACATGATAGCCTTAATTTCTGATTTTTGACCAGAGGATCTTGTCAATCTTCGCTCTACTGAATCTTGTACTTTATGGGAGATATTAGCTCCCATATTTCTTGGAGCACTCCGAGCTTTAGCTCCTGAAGATTGCTGGGCATATTTGTCGCTAGTCTCAAAACTCGATATGGGCCTCTCTCTCTGTGACCTAGTAGATGGGGTCTTAATGGCAGAGATACTATTATTCGAGGTACCAATAGATTTATATCGATTAGGTTCCTGGGATACTCCGATCACTGTCAGATTTTGTTCAACCCTTTCCAACGCCTCAATAGCAGTTCTACTAAGCATTGTGATATTGTATGAAGTAGTACTTTTTCTAGCTCGAGTGCTAGAGCGCATAGAATCTGAATAATCATTCATAGCTTCCATTTCGTTAACTCTAGTAGACGCTTTCTCGCTGACAACCTCGTTAACACTGGTGGGTAACGAGGATATTGTTGTATCTGAGTATCCATCGGTGGAGCGGATAGAAATGGCTGAGTCGATAGATGTGCCGCTGGGACTCTGTATAATCTTTGACGAGAGTTCTGTGGATGGCGACGTGATTAAACCAAGTATAGAAGGAAGCATTTTGTAAACATTGACGGGTTGAGGGGTAGAGCGATGGATAACCTAATAGTATAAAAGGCGCAAAGGAACGGACCTGACGATCAAGATGGACAGTGCACGTCACCCGGCTTTTCAACGCGTTGTAATGTTAGGCCCATTATGCCCGATAAAGTTGATGAGGCAGTTTGTTACTCCCCGTAACAGAGTGTGCGAAACTAAACTAGGCTCGATGCATGAATGCAAAACAAACATTAAGGCTGAAGGCAAAATTAAGCACCAGCCATATCATTTATATCAGCAAATACGAAAGATAAACGTGAAACTATTGGACGATATAATAAATTATCAGTCTTCCAAGCCCTAGATCAAATACAACATTTGAGAATACCATACCCACGTCTCGAATTAGATCGAAGCTTTTAATCACGCGTTGACGCGACTTGCTTGTGTCCTGACTCTAGATTCTTGGACGAGCTTAACTTAGTCCTTCTTAATACTTATGTAATTCTTAGTATCCATCAGCTACCCTTTAGACGAACTAACCCAAAGGCGCAAATCACACATTAAAGTCAATAAAGCGCTCATGAGGATTTCCTTGCTTTATGTATAGGCTTAGAGAGCTTGCATGACAATATTCATGATATCTGCACGTCGGGCTCTGAAAATCGCTAATCTTCTGCCACATATTACAAAGTTGTTGCATATCAAACTAAAGCTTGTAGCCAATAAAAAATTTGGCTTCAAAGTCAACTCAATCCATTACTAATGTCACATTTTCATCCACAATTGTACCGTAGACAGGTGCTACATCTGAGGAATTTTGAAGCCTTACTTAATCTAAATATCCCTCCGAATATGCAGCTGCCTAATGCTATTAATGGAAAAAATAAATCTCAGTACGTATTGTAAGTTAATCATCGATATACCATTATATAGAACAATATAAATTTATTGACGAGGAAAGAATTGTGTGGGGCTAAAGAATCTTCCAAGCGTATAATCGAATCAATACTTAATGACTGCTACCGTTGGATGAGATATGTAGGGGATGTACAGGTGTCTTGAGTCTTGAAGGAAAGAAAACCTACACTTGCCGTAACATTCAAGGTATGACGTCGATGCTGCAATTTGTAAGGAGCTAAGGCGTAGATTCTTGAGCGGCGCGATATCACCTGACATAATAAATAGTCTGCTCTGTTTCTCGGCAACCGCAGCCACTCAATTTGACGTAATGTTGAGGCTAGAGCCCCAAATAAGATACATTCTGGTTCTCAGCCCCCATCTAGATCATGGACGCTACCATAGAAAAAGAGGGCGGGTCAATCAGTCTCTGGTCACTAGTTCACTTTGTAGTTACTTGTGATGGGTCAGAATATATGTATTTGAATATCCCCTGATTATATCTTCTGGAATTTTCGTTGATCAAATATGACTGATTATTCATTTTTGATAATTTTATGATTAATCTATACCTATGACTATCGTGGAAAAGGTTTATCTATTTAGTTGTATGGCCGGAGATATCTACATCTTCTCCACGGCTCCTATTGAATAGTAATACCTTTACAGATTTCCATTTGGATGACTACTTTTACGAGACGTCTCAACCTTGTCATCTCCTTTTCAAATTCTGTTGGAACGATTTATCCATCTGAAGTTATTTTGGGTCGGTAGAACTTGGATCGCATTCTAAATTTTTGATTTGTATATTCCGGTATTCGGATAATACTTTATCCGGATGTAAGATGCATATCTGAGCATAGTCGGCTCTAGCCAGATAGTCATGTAACATATGAGGATAATTTAGACTTGTGTTAATTATCACCAAATGAAAAGAGTTGAGAGATTGAAGAGTCTGAAAACTTTAGTGGAGAGTTGTTGACTAAACCCACTTAGTATCAGAGCGCTATTTAAACTAATTACTAAAGTGAAACCCCTGTTAAGACGATTTGATCGGGGCCGTGAAAAATATCGTCATACAGAGAATATCGTTGCTCCACGGAAATTCCCTTTTTTGGCGGCATTTTTAGCACCAATCTAGCAAAAAAACCCCGGTTAAGACGATATTCAGAGGTTGAAGAACGATAATCGTGTAATCGGTAAATTTATGGGAACCAAGTCCGTTTTGGAGGGCAAGACTGAACACCTGTACGCGGTGTCCTACGAACCTGGGAGTGAAATATTCTCCCAGAGCCAAGTTCTGTCAAATTTCGCAATATCAAAAAAGTTGGCCCACGAGGAAAAAATTCAAATTACTTCACCATGTCAATCTTTCACTCCCAAAGAGTCCGATTCTCAACTAAGCTTCATCAAGTCTACAAGTACGACCTAGTACATCCTCGTTTCAATGGCCACTCCTCTTGTCGAATTTCTCTGGCTTCAGCCGGTCACCACATATACGCCCACGCCGATATTTATACCCGACGGAGGAAGCAAACCGTGGAGCACAAATCTGGAAGATAGTCCTTTGAGATGGACGTGAGAGGGATGAGGACAAGTTGAAAAAATGACGCAAAGGAAGGATATAACCTCGAAGAGCGTGAAATTGCGAATTTTGGCAAGGAGTTTTACGAATTGAGCTTTGTGCGCGCCAAGACTTCGCTTGCGAGAGTGCAGCTGACACTATAAATACAAGCAAACGATGGAAGGTGTTGTGGTCCGCCTCCTGGTGATGTTCTCTGGTATGGTTTGAGTAGCCTGGGCACCTACTCCACTTGGGAAGGAGACATCTCAAATTATATTTCGCGCGGAGAAAAGTTGATGGATGACGGAGGCATGTCTGGATAACTCAGGGTTTTTGAGACGTTTCCCTGGGTGGGTATTCACGGATGAGGGTTGACTTGGGGTGAAGAAAAAGCTGCCATAACTTCGCAGTGGTACTTGCACATGAAATCTGAGGCATGAGTGCTCTTCTCTTACGTTGAAACATCTATTCTGTACTTTTCTTTGATATTGTGTCGTAGCTAGATAGCTGCATACGCAATTAAAGTCTGATGCAAAAAAAGGAAGTCCGTTCTGGAAAAAATATCGTCTTAACGAGTATCGTCTTAACAGGGATCTAACTGTACATCTAAGTACACTCTCCTAAGGGTATCAAAAGTATAATTGTCAGAATGACTGGGGTTTTATCCCTGTGCATATTGCCTTAATTAGTATGGTCTTCATGCAGGCCCATGTCTAGTAACTCGACTAGACATGCAAGCAAGGGGTACTATCCAATGATATTCAGCGAAAGTCTAAATTATGGGGATGGTTTTCAACTCTAAATGAAATGTACAATGGTCCTCATTTAAAATTTTAATTAAAAAAATCAATTGATGTTATCTAAAAATACACATCTATTTCAAAAATTATCGCTCTGTATTACAGAAGTCTACAACGAAGTCCTCAATATAGCTCGCAACTAAAATGAAAGTGTGCTACATGTTTTGTATTAGTCTTCTCCATCCTAATACTTTGTATACCCTCCATTTTCCTTTATCACCGCTATTCGTCTTTCGTGCGTGTTAACCACACCTAACGGAGGCTTCTTCCGAGCAATGCATCTGCTGTATCCCATTTTATTGAGGGCATTTGAAAGTTAATGCTCATATCATTCCTGTTGGCTGAAGGGTCCCGTTGCTAGTTTCAAATAGCACATCTGTCGATTTTCAGGAGATTCCCGGACGAAAGCCTCAAGCTCATCAACTCGTTCCACGCTTAATTTAGGTGAGCATCCTTAGCAAGGAATGGGATTCTCAGTCTCTCGAGCACACGCAAGTTGTACTTGTCTTATTGTGAAGCCAAGTTTGTCGGATATATTTTGAAGTGTCAAGCCAAGTCTTCTTCATGCTCTTATTTCTATACATTGATCGCGAGTTAGATGCTTGCAAACTTTAGTTTCTGAAGCAGACTTTTCGAGAGACATTGTTTGCCGGAATAGAGGATGAATTGATAGTGGTGCTAAGATTCAAGGACTGTGTAGGTTGGGCAGCCAAATATGTCGTTAGAGATGTGTTTTCGATCCTAATGTTAGAAGAAGACGATTGGACCTTGCCTCATGGCGAGCGGGGTAATGAGGAGAAACATACTAACCTATTACGAGCTAGCCCAACTGCGCCTACAGTGCTAACCCCTTTAACATCCCAGTTTCGAGGTTAACATTTTATATCCCAGAGGCACTGTAAAGGACACGATTTACTTGTTTACGCTAGATAATTGGGAGGCTGGTCAATATATGAATCGAAGTCGAAAGCAGGCACAAGCATATCTCCATTTGACAACTTCTCAAACTTCAGCACTTACCATTATCCCCTGAATCCTCAAACTCTTTCTAACCACACATCATCTCGCCCAACGACCGATCAAGCGTCACTCGAATTGCAAACAGGAGCTTGCCTCATTTATTACCAGCCTTCTCTTACTGCATATTTACGACGCTATTTATACCCGTAAGGAGGAAATGAAGTCGAAAAATACAAAGCCTGTGTCTTGGCTTGTTGGGGACTGTTGCTCAAATGGGACAAACAACTTGAGGAAGGACAGGCGGCTGGAATGTGGAGCGAGAGGGGGAACAGGTCTCTGAAGAGCACGCTCGGACTGACATTTTCAAATGGTTTTCAACTTTGGATTTTTTGTGGGCGCCAAGACCAAGATTTCGGCTAATTAGCCAGGAGGACTTCTTTTGTCGATGAGTCAACGGCACAAAAGAAGTTGGGCTAAGCTACCATACAGCAATCACGCTCTGTCAAGACTTTTCTGACATTTCAGCACGACCTTCGGGAAGGAGTTTGAAGGAGGCTAGAAAGGCAGAGTGTAAATTACCGAGGTACCCACAAGTCTTCAGCGCCCAGCTGGCCGGCCTCTTCGAACGCTTCACAAGGGGTACTAGATCTTCGGATTTATTCATAATGTCGGTATTAGGAGAGCTCCGCACCCAGTGGTTTTTTGCGAATTTTCCCAGCTGCTATACACCCGCAAATGACCATCGTTTCGTTGGATGGAGGGGGAGATAATAAAGGGCAAAGGGCTCCTCTAAGCTT